TGTGTGTGTGTGTGTGTGTGTGTGTGTGTTTGTGAGTCTTTGCACCCATCTTTTGCACATGAGTCTGAGAATGTCAGAGGAGGGAGACTGATCATCTAGAATTGCTGCTACTTGTGCTTGTAAGCCACACATGCACACTGGAAAATGAACTCACATCCCCTGCAAGAGCATTAAATTCTCTTAATTCCTGAACCATCTTTTTAGCCTGTAAGAGTAGATTATCAAGTGAATTGGCCAAACATCACATGTAATGCAAAATGCTTCAATGGCAGGAAATTGCATGGTAAATGTATTAAAATATTGTTATAGACAATAAAGTTAAAATGTCAACATGGTCTTAGCAAACATATTTGGTCCAAGAATCCAGCTGTGGTTAGACTGGGTTAATATCCTACCTGTTGGGTATTTAGTGTTGCATGGGTATTGGAAGGATGGGTCACTGCAATATGGATTTTAGGCCTATGTGGCAGCAGAAAGGTACAGCTTCTTAGGATTAATCTTGAACAGCCATTCAAAGGCATATTTAATGGTTGTTACATAAAGTTGTATTTTGGGCAAAAAAGTTCCTTATACTAAAGTCCTTGATCTCATTACATGTCTCCAGGAGGAAAGCATCAGACTCCTCATACTTAGGTCCATACAGTTTACCATTTGCAGTACCCAATAATCCAAGAGTTTCAGGTTCGTCAGAGGCATCCTGTGACCAAAGTTATGCAAAGGCAGTAAAGCATTCTCAGAAAGACAATTCTTTGAATCACAAAAAGAATCACTGTTTTCCACAATAATTTCTTCAAGGTCAAAGTACACATAGAAAACAACTATTCTATTCTATCGTTTACCCTAGATAGAGAAAAGCAGCTATTCATTATAATGCTAACCCTAGATGCAGTGTCTCGGTTAGATTCCTATAACACTGCTAAGTGGGCTGTCTCTCTTAGACTGCGCATGTTCAGTTTGTACTTGCATGTGGTAGCTTTACTGTGTTCTCTTAAACAGACAAATTCCACTAGGAAGAAATGGAGAGGACAGAACTGTTGTGAACGGATGCTGCACATCTAAGATCACTACTTCTCATGTGACTCAGCAGCTTCCCAGTCATGTTTCCATGTAACAGACACAGACACACATGTGGACACACACTCATACACAGACACACGTGCATGCACTCACATACACAAACACAAATGTGTACACATTCCCATACACAAACACTCAAGTGCACACACTGGCAAACACATATTAGAATTCTAGCCATGCTCAACAATACTAAGTCTTGAGGTGGCTGACAAGGCCCTTCACTGCAGTGCTAAGGTGGAGGACAGAGCAGTCATGACCCATTCTAAACCGATGTGTCAATAAAATGTCTAGGTAGGCCGGGTGGTGGTGGTGCATGTCATTAATCCTAGCACTAGGGAGCCAGTTCCGGGACAGCCTGTGAGTTCCTGAACCAGCTCCAAAGCTACAGAGAACCCCTGTCTCAAAAACACAAAAACCCATCCAACCAACCAACCAACCAAACCCCCCCCCCCAAAAAAAGAAAAGAAACAAGAGAAAGGAATTTACAGACAGTTGGAAAGATCCTTAGATGGATCTGGAAGTTCATTGCAAGTAAACGTCAGGGATCCGTAGTTTCCACTTTGTTCAATGATTTTAAACATCTCTGTCCCTGACCCATCCACTGTGTAGATTCCAGGGTTCATAGGAACCCCATTCCTCCTGTGGAGTCTGATCCATGCATGGCTCACACTGGGTGTCAGCACAGGAGGACAAGGATTATTTTTATTAGTGGGTATTACACCAAAGCTGCCTTCATTATAGCCAAGTGCTTTACCCTGATCTAGCCCACTGTGCATCCTGGACATTGTGTTTAGATGTAGCGCATCTATAAACTATCATTGTTAGCCATGTGTTCTGGTTCTTCTGTCTTAAGCACCTGAGACACTGGATGACAGGCGGGGTCAGCAAGGGCAGCTTCAAGAAGCATCTTGAAGAAATGATGCCCAGTCCTATGTTAGCTTCCTGCTTCCTCATTTTAAGTAAAACAGATGAATCTGAGTTTCCATTGGGTAGTTAAGATCCCATAAAGCGACCTGAGATTCTAAATCAGAACCGTTTAGCAGAAGAGACCCAGGAAACGCGGTAAACATTACTGTGAAACACTCAGTTCACAGCCTAACATCCGGTGTTGAGATCACAGTGCTGAAACAGCCCCAATGCCCTGTGTGTGTCCCGGTGCTCAAGCCTGTTCCCTTCCAACAAGTCACTCTCCAAGGATTCCCGGAAGTCCTTCGCGCTGTCTTGTGGGATATGTAGTCCCGTGTACGATGATGTCACAAGACTGGGCCCTGGATACCGGAAGAACTTCCGTGTTCCGACATCAAACTTCTATTCTCCCCAAAGCTGGGCGCGTATCCTGCTCAGCGCTGGGCTTGGATATCTGACGTGGAGGTTGGTGCAGGGGGCAGCCCCATCCTGCAGATCTGAGGGACTTGCAAGGTGGCGGGTGCGGCGTGGAGGGAGCTGACTTGGCCTGGGTGGGAGCAGAAGGTGACCTGGAGGTGCAGCTGTGCTGGGCCACTGCACCTGGATGCAGGTTTGACAGGACAGAGGGGGACATGCCAAAGCCACGTGCTGTGGGTGTCCAGTCTCTTAGGACACCCTGCTACCCGAGTCTACCTGAGCTTCTGGTGACCTAGGAGCTGAAGGGAGCTGACGTTCCTGCTTGGCTGAGGGAGCATGCTCTTCCTAGTGACCCTGGCTCACATGGCTGTTGTCAGTTTTCTCTTCTAGGAAGAGTGGACACCTAGCCCCACTACACTTCATAGGACACCTAGACCCTCTCATACTTTAGGAAGCTCACAGAATTTCATGAAGTACCTGATTTCTAGGGACAGCGTCCTTGAGGGAGGTTGCTGTATAGGATTTGTGTTTCTTTTCCTTTGGAATTAATTGGTAGATTTATGGATTCCTGCGGTGGTGTAGGAACTACTTATATAGATTTCTGTGGCTGGAATCACCACACTACTCTTCCCGTATGACACAGAATAATCTTATAGTTAGTATGAAGCTGTCTTTGCAAAATCCACACTATTACCGCCTTCACACTGCAGAGTGAACACTACTAGGGAGCAATATTGCATCAATTCCTTTTGAGACTGTAATGTCATAAATTGGGACTCCTTTTCATATGTCAGAGAGGACTTGGTATGATGGGATAAGTGGACCTCATGATTGACAGGAGGAGGCTTGAATATCTCTGAAAAAGAGAGGTGTAGGCAGACGTTTCTCTCCCACCAGCTAGTTCCTAAATATTGACTCAGAGGCTTTATATTAATTACACATGCTAGGTTGATAACATAGGCTTCTTCCTAACTAGCCTTTACATTTTAAGTTAACCCATATTCTGTATTTACCGTCTTTCAAGTGGCAGTACCTTTATTAAAAATGGAATGTTACTCTTCTGTTCCCTCTGTGTCTCCCCGAAGACTCCTCAGACTATTCCCTTGTCCTTCAGATCATCCTTAGTTTGGTCATCCTACCTATATGTCCTTCGTAGTTACTGTCCCATCAGCATTTAATACCAATTTGAATGGCAAGTCTTTGTAGAGTGTATAAGCGGATTACTTCACAGCAGAGAGGAGAAATGGTCCAGGTGATCTGGTAAGTTCTGCACACTGTTTTCTCATCACCCGGTCCTTCTATCTCTTCACTTTATCTGTAATGTTCATAAAAGAAAGCTCTTACATGTGTTTCTCCCTAAGTCAGAAAGATGAATTTTGTTTCTTGATCCATTTGTCTGCCCCATGACTTTTGCATGGGGAATGGAGGACATTAATTGTTCTGATGTGTGATATGTGAGTTTTCACTGTCCTGCTTTTGGTGGTGCTGTTTGTCTTCTCAGTGGCCCTTTGTGCTTTTGTAACTTTGGCTTCTTCTTCCATCTTCTCTTCACTATGCACATCCTTCTCGGTAATGGTATATTATTTATGATTTATTAAAGCTTGCCTGTAGATTTAAAAGCAAAGACAGCCTCATGCTATAGAGATCAGGCAGTGGTGGTACATACCATTAATCCCAGCAGCTTGAAGCTATGAGGTGGTGATACACAGCTTTAATACTAGGATTTAGGATTAAGAGGTAGATGGATCTCTGTGAGTCCAAGGCCATCCAGATCTACACAAGAATGAATCAGTCTAAAAGAGACCTATAGCTCACACTGTTAATCCCAGCATTAGGGAAGTACATAAAACAGAAGCAAGGTCTCAGAAAGGCATTCATTCTCCAGTAACGCTGAGGAGAGATAGCAGTTTGAGATTTGGGGAGAGCTCGTGGAGACAGGGTCAGCACGAGGTAGAGAGGAGAGGTAGTGGTTGGGTGCTTTGCTTCCTGAGCTTCACCTTGACCCCCCCAATGTCAGTCTCTGAGTCCTTTTATTTTCGTTGTTACACTTCTCCTCAGCCTAAGATATCCCTTTCTGTATTTTCCTTATGTTTGCTTTGTAGGATATATTTTTACTGCTTCTTATATTATCTTTGTCCTTCAGCTTTGACAGATGGTTTTGCTGTGTGTAGTAGCTTAGGTTGGCTGTCACGCTCTTTTAAGACTTGGGATGCATTTCTCCAGGCCCTTCTGAGTTCCAAAGTTTGCACTGAGAAATCAGCTCTGATCTCTATACACCTTTCTTTTTGCTTGCAGCTCTCAGTCTGCTGTGAGGAGTTTCTTTCTGCTCTTGTCTTGCAGGTTCTGTGGGCTTCTTGTAATTTTATGGGGATATCTTTTTCTCATTGGAGGAGGATTTCTTTTATGATCTTGTTGAAGGTCTTGTCTCTGCCTGGGGTTTATTCCCATCTCTGCCTATATTTTGCAGGTTTGGTCTTCTCATAGTGATTATCATCTCCTATTGTTCTGATGTGTGATATGTGAGTTTTCACTGTCCTGCTTTTGGTGGTGCTGTTTGTCTTCTCAGTGGCCCTTTGTGCTTTTGTAACTTTGGCTTCTTCTTCCATCTTCTCTTCACTATGCACATCCTTCTCGGTAATGGTATATTATTTATGATTTATTAAAGCTTGCCTGTAGATTTAAAAGCAAAGACAGCCTCATGCTATAGAGATCAGGCAGTGGTGGTACATACCATTAATCCCAGCAGCTTGAAGCTATGAGGTGGTGATACACAGCTTTAATACTAGGATTTAGGATTAAGAGGTAGATGGATCTCTGTGAGTCCAAGGCCATCCAGATCTACACAAGAATGAATCAGTCTAAAAGAGACCTATAGCTCACACTGTTAATCCCAGCATTAGGGAAGTACATAAAACAGAAGCAAGGTCTCAGAAAGGCATTCATTCTCCAGTAACGCTGAGGAGAGATAGCAGTTTGAGATTTGGGGAGAGCTCGTGGAGACAAGATCAGCCAGAGGTAGAGAGGAGAGGTAGTGGTTGGGTGCTTTGCTTCCTGAGCTTCACCTTGACCCCCCCAATGTCAGTCTCTGAGTCCTTTTATTTTCGTTGTTACACTTCTCCTCAGCCTAAGATATCCCTTTCTGTATTTTCCTTATGTTTGCTTTGTAGGATATATTTTTACTGCTTCTTATATTATCTTTGTCCTTCAGCTTTGACAGATGGTTTTGCTGTGTGTAGTAGCTTAGGTTGGCTGTCACGCTCTTTTAAGACTTGGGATGCATTTCTCCAGGCCCTTCTGAGTTCCAAAGTTTGCACTGAGAAATCAGCTCTGATCTCTATACACCTTTCTTTTTGCTTGCAGCTCTCAGTCTGCTGTGAGGAGTTTCTTTCTGCTCTTGTCTTGCAGGTTCTGTGGGCTTCTTGTAATTTTATGGGGATATCTTTTTCTCATTGGAGGAGGATTTCTTTTATGATCTTGTTGAAGGTCTTGTCTCTGCCTGGGGTTTATTCCCATCTCTGCCTATATTTTGCAGGTTTGGTCTTCTCATAGTGATTATCATCTCCTATATTCCCTTTTTGGGGTTTTAAAATTTTCATATTCTTAACTATTTCATGTAGGTCGGCTACTTTCACTCTAAGTCCTGACACCTTTGTTCTTGATTCATTCAAATACAAGCTTTTGTGGTTAGATTGTTGACTTTTCAATTCCATCTTCATTTTAGCTAAAGCCCTCATCAGTCTTTCTCTTTATTGGATTCCAGTTTCAAATCCTGGATTTTCCTTGTCATTTTCATCATTCTTATGGTTTTTTCCTTCTTCTTGTTGTTGTAATTTAAGAAAAGCAGCACTGGAGAAAAAGATGCCATGAGACAGGGCTCAAACAGAGTTGTTGTTGTTGTTGTTGTTGTTGTTGTTGTTGTTGTTGTTGTTGTTGTTGGGTGGTGTGTGTGTGTGTGTGTGTGTGTGTGTGTGTGTGTGTGTGTTAGGGGGACTGACCTCCTGATACAGGAGCAGGAGAAGAGAGGAAGAGGCAGAGAGACCAGAATAGAGAAAGGGAGAAAAAGAAAGATCGAAGGATGAATGGTGGGCAGGGCCCTTTTTAAAGGGAACATAGTAAATATACAAAGGTGGTGCTCTTAGTGGCTGCAGCTGATGGTATATCCTGTCAGAACCCCAAAGACAGGCCAATACAGATTCCTGCATACTAACAGTTGTAGGGCATCAATAAGCCATTCATTCTCCTTAAACTCATTGTCTTTAATGATAGAGAGAGTGTTTGGTTGTTTAAATGAGGGAGGAGTTTATACATCACAGGCAGTGTTGAAATCCCAAGGCTGGCCACATGTGCCTACCTTGTATCCCTACAGACCCCTTCCAGAAACTAAGATTGCACTCATGTGTCACCATACTGGGCTTTTTTGTTTCTGTCTTTTTTTTTATTCTTTGTATTATGTTCAATAAATCTTTTACAATCCCTTTGGGGCTGGTTAGTACATTGATTGACTGGTTTCTTGATTGAGTGACAGACTGTGTGCCTGTGTTTATATGTAGATTCACATGCCATGCCATGCACATACAGACGACAGTTTCTTTCTTTGCACTGTGTGAGTGTACAGGATCCACTTCAGGTCATCAGGTTTTGCTGAAGGTTCTTTTTGTTCCAAGCTTACCTGTAGACTTTGAGTGTTCTTTCATGTTTTGTTCATGCTCTTGTAAATTTTGCCATCTTTTGTGTTTGTCACGGCTTTCTTATGCCTTAGCATGCGATGTTGGATGTTTATTGCTTTCCATCACTGAAATTTTCAGCCTCAATCTTGAGCTTTTCATGGTGTATTTCTAATATTCTTTATTGCATATGTGGTGACATTTTGTTTGTGATCTAACAAATAAAGCTTGCCTCAAGATCTGAGTATAGAGTTAAGCCACTAAGGGCCAAGTAGTGGTGGCACATAACTTTAATACCAGTACTTGGAGGTCACTGCCTTTCATTCCAGTACTTGGGAAGACGAAGCAGCAATATCAGGAAGATCAGGAGTTCAAGTCCACCCT